GGGGGGGGGGGGGGGACTGTGGGAGAGAGAATAATAGGGAAATTGTCAACAGACAGCTGCACGCAGCGATTTGTGAAAAGTGAGGAGAGAACGGAAAAGGCAGAGAAATAGATGCCGACAGAGGCGAACAAAGAAGGAACAACCTTCTTGCAGACGGTGCACATCCAATGCCTAGGCGGCAGGTCGAGCTCCGTCCTCTTCCTCGTGCCACCGTCCGCCATTGTATTGGCGCTTCTCCCCCCCCGGCCGCCATGACCACCATCTTCTCCATCCCTCCCCGACGGCGTGGTTGAACGGCCGCGTCTACCGCTGCTTCCCCCCAACGGGGCTCGCTGTACATCCCCTTCCTCTTGCGCGTCGCCCCCTATGGTCTTCCCCCCCCCCCCCCCCCCCCNTCCCCCCCCCCCCCCGCTCGAGCGTGGCCTCTTCGTCGCGGTGGCCGTCATCATCGTAGCTGTCATCGTCGGTGAAGGTAGCGTTGTCCTTGAGGGCGTGAACTCGGCGCTCGCACAGGCGTCCGCCGCCGCAGAAGGCAGGGACGGAGATAGCCTTGGTAGCGAGAAAGAAGAATACTCCCTGAGGTTTGTTATGTAAGACGAGAGGTTACGGGAGACGAAGGGGTCAGTACCACGCTTGTTTGCTGGCGGCGCGTGCGTGCGTTGTGATGGCTGGCGCGCCCGCTCTGTGTTTTTGTTTTGCTCGTGTGCGAATTTACTAAAGGAGGAGAAAGTTAAAAGGAAACCTAAGAAGATACCCTTGATTTCTGTGCATGGCAATCAAGTGCCAACAGTTAACTTTGCGCTACTATTCTTGGTGTTGTTGTTGTTGTTGTTGGTGGTGGTGGTGCTACTGCTGATATGTTTGCCGTGGAAGATGTGTTTCTCGGATTGAATACTTTTCTCAGTATGCCGAAGGAGAGGACATGGACAGTTTCGAGTCGAGGGCACGTGTCGAAATCGCTGCATGGTCGGTGCAACCACGTCGCACGCGTGACGTTCACGTTTTTCTGAGTGATCAACGTACACACGTAGACATGAATCAGAACAAAGGACGCCGGGTTTGTTTTTTATCGTCGAACGGACCCTTTTCAGAAAGTACCCATCTGCAACAAGTGAAAAGAGCACTACAGAAAGAACTGGTTCGCGTCGATGTTCATGATTGCATATGCAGGCTTGAACCGGAACATCTTGTTGACAGGGTTTCTCCTCTCTAAGGCCAATTAATCTCCCCTCGCGCTCTCACCGCAAAGCGTCTGCGATCGTCGCGAACGAGACTCGATCGAAGCCTGACGGAGAAGAACATCTTGAGGACCGCCGCCAACACCGCCGGCACCGCCGCGGCCGCAAACATGGCCAGCAACAGCGCGGCCAGGTGCGTGCGCTCCATCGGTATCGCACCGTCCATGTATCCCGGGCACAGCACCGCCCACGACAGGGCGAGCAAGAGGTAGAGCCTGTCCCAGTGTCGACTGCTGAAAACGGTAAAGCAACCCTGAAACGCTAAATCTTTCGCGCGGCTTCTTCCTCCCTCTGCCGTGTCAAGCGACGTCGATGCGCTGCGGCTGCTGCCGCTTGTCTCTCCCTGTCGTGTTCTTGCGTCCAGCGCGAAGAACGGCTCGAAGTCTAGTGGTAAACGCTGCGTGGCGGCGACGGCGGCGGTGGCGCCCCCCGAAGCACCGGCAGCGGCAGCAAAGCAAAAGCAGCAGCAGGTGGTCCAGTTGTCATTTTCGTTCCGTACAAAGGAAGTAGTTTTTTGCATTTTTCGTGGTAGTCTAGTCTATATTTTTGTACAGGAGAAGAAATTATCAGTTTCTTGATCGCAATTGAACCAACTTCAGGGTATGTAACTTTGTTCACATAGCAACAAGATATGTAAACTGGGCAACGTCCCACCACCCACATTTTCGCTGAGAACTCATTTTGCTCCTGTCTTGGGCTTAGCAGCTACACCAACAAGTTACCCTGGCGTAACGGCAAAAGTTTAGAGGCCTACTGTATGTATGTTCAGTGGGACCGGCTGTATATTAATCAGGCTTTCAACGCAGAAGGCGAAGAACTTTTTGCCAGAGGGAGAACGTTGAGTTATTGTACCCACTGGTCATGATTGGATTCATTCAGTCGAACAAAACATATCCTCCGTGGAAGCATTTGTATCTACGGCCACGAATTGTGGAACACGAGAGACGACTGGCTGCAGATGTCCTCGTCATGCAAGGCAATGACTCAACATCCCCTCTCAATCCGACAAAGTTGCTTGCGTTGCTGAGGTCGTGGACCAAAGAAAACGCCAATGCAATATATAGCCTGGACAGGAACCCCGAGATGCCGACTGTGACGTCTGTGTGAGTGACCGACAACCAGTTTGTTCTCACTTTCAACACAGCATCCCCACCCTCGTCAGCGTCCCCGTCGCGCTCGCTCTGTACCCGATGCAGCCACCTTGATTTAGCTTGCTGGAAGTCATACACTCGGTTACTGAGGTACGAGTAGGAGTTGATGTGCATCGAGATCGCGGAAGCCGCCGATCTGGCCGATAGAGGGACCCTGCTCCGAGCCGATCCAGTGCTCCGCATGCTCGCGGTGCCGTCTGCTACATTGTGCATTCGTGGGTTTCCTCCCTCAGCCACGCGAAGTGCGGGGACACCGCCACCACCCCGAACATCCGTACGACGTGGTGAAATCATGATTTTGCCAGATCTGTGCGCAGTGAGCGTGCTCTCTGGTAGGGTTCGCTGCCTACCTGCCTCTGTAGCTTTCATCATCGTCGAAAATGTAGGGGGGAATCGTAGCGGGACTGTCGGATTGCGTGTAACGGCTACAGCGACCATGCGGGCTCGTCTACCCTCTAGTCTACACCTATATTTTTTTCCTACGTACTTCTTCGGTGTCGCAAGTAGCGAAGTAGCGAAGTAGCCCAGTGCGTGTGCTGTAGCCCCGCCGTATCGCCCCGAGCGCTCGCCCGTTATTTGTGTATCTCGTCCCCGCGCACCAACACCTGACGTGCATGGAGGCTGATTTGCACCGTTGTCTGCTGTCCCCGCCACAGGTCCATGTTGTTGTGGAACAAGTGTAGTCTAGATCTTTACCGGCAGCGGCACGGTGCGCGTGAGGGAGTGAATCTCAAATTGGTTACCTAGGTTTAGGTTCCCACTCATCGGACTCCGTAGATTTCACCCTACATGTATTTATCGCACCACACCCTTCTCCATCTGACATGGTCGGTTCCTGACGCAGCAAAAAGCAGATGACGAAAAAAGGAGAGGCGGCAGAAGAAGAGTCCGACATAGATACAGTAGTCCGTCATGCTCTACTTTGTTGTTGCAGATTCAACGATTCATTGTGTTAGGCCATGCGGCTATCAGAATGCGACTACACGGCAAACATGGTTAGATCCGCTCACATCCATACGCACGTGGAGAGAGAGAATTGTCCTCGAAAGACGTGGGACCCATACGGTCGTCTCGATCTCCACCCCCCACCCCCTACTCTCTTTTGTTTGGAGACAGAAAGGGGGCTTCCACGTGTAACCGATACCCGACTGGCTGGCGGCGAGTCGCTGACCTCCTTCCCCGATCTTCCGTGCCTGCTTTGCACCGATGTATTACGTCCGCCCCGATATCAGATGTTGCACCATTCCTTTGTTGCGGTCGCGTTGAACGCGGGTGTTGTCCCGCCATGTTTTTTTTTGTCGTGACTTTACGTCAGTCCCCACGCATTTCTGTCAGGTAGAATCTCCAACCCGTGGTCACACAGAAGAGTTCCCTGAGGCTCCCTACCCACCACTCCTTCAGCGCTTGCCTTCGGTTCTTAACGCCAGACATACACAGTATTCGAAGTGTCACCCTGATGCCACAATACAGTGTACCAACAGTTCGATAGGTACCAAAAATATTTGAAGAATACCGAGAGAACAGTTCGTTGTCACATGATATAAGGGCGTCGAGAGACAGAAGGAGGTCATTGAGTCATCGTTCGTCATTCTTGTTTGACAAACGCGTGCATGCCACTTGCTTCAAGTCACACAGGGTTTAATGCCAAACTGGCTTTGAGCTTGCATCATCGCGGGCAGACAGACACAGAAAAAACAATCATTTCAAAGCAGACAACGTGGTCCGAGAACTACCAGGTGTCTGACAAAGATACAAAGCGCTCATCACGCATTCCCTCTCGAAAAAATGTAGACAAATAGTCTACTGAACTGGAAATAACAAGCTTAAGCGAAGCGACCTTCTGCTTCGCGTGTATACATCCCCACTGCTATACAACAAACAGGTGATCCTCGCCCTCTTTCTCGAAAAAACAGAACTTTTGATGAAGCGAGAAGTCGGAGACAGCAAATAGGTTGGCCAACAGATGTCCCACCTCTCTCGATTGCGTCCCGTACAGAATCAGAGGGCCGAGAACCTCTCCAAAACTATCCCTCTCTCCACTGCCCCAGCAACAAAAAACACCGACAAATCTTCTCTGTTTTGTTTCAAAGAAGCAGCAGACACCAACAGTACTACCCTCTACCATGCCCGAATGTTTGGTACTGCGTCCGTCCACAAGCTGTGTCCTCAATTTCAGGGCAGATCGCCTGAGGTTGTAAACTCAAACTGGGTCTCAAACCCCCAGGAAGACTTAACCCCAGTTCACCCGTGGAGAGAGCGACTGCGGCAATTGCACCCCGGCCAGGGGAGACAGGCGGCTGGAGCCGAACGTGGGGCTGACGGGATTGGGCGAGTACCCCGACGCGAAGTCGGAGAAGCTGTAGTTGGGAACCATGCCCATGCCTTGCGACCCTCCCCCGATGGCCCCCATCACCGTCGCAAAGTCGAAGTCGCCGCTCCCGCTTCCATCGCTGCCACCGCCGCCCCCGCCGCCGCCTCCTCCGCTGCCGCCACCGCCGCCGCCCCCGATGCCACCACCGCCACATAAGATTCCTGCTCCAACTCCTCCGCCGCCACCGCTGCCGCCGCCGCCGCCGCCGGCCGTCGACGGGAACTGGTACGGTGACATGGGGCCCATCCCTCCCATTCCTCCTATTCCGATGAAGGAGGTGGGTGATATGGAGGCGTACGGGAGGAGCTCCCCGGTGTCCCCGAGCATCATCATGCCCTCCCCGACCGGTAGCCCGCTCAGTATGGCCGACGTCCTGGGGCTGTGCTGCGGTGGGGGCATCGCCATCGCACCGGTGTGCGTCGTCCCTCCCCCTCCTCCCCCTCCTCCCCCTCCACCTCCTCCTCCTCTTCCCCCGATGGCGGGCATTGTTTCACGAACGCATACCTCGCCGCCGCTGCCGCCGCTGCCGCCGTTGCCGCCGCTGCCGCCGCTGCCGCCGCTGCCGCCGCTGCCACTGCTGCCGCCGCTGCCGCCGCTGCCGCCTTTGCCACTGATGCCGCCGCTGCCGCTGCCGCCGCTACTGTCTCCTCCTCCTTCGGCGACGGGCGGCCCCGTGCCCGAACGCGCGCGTTTCGATGGTACCAGTGCGGCGGCAGCGGAGTCACTCCCGAACTGAGAGCGAGGAGACAAGCCCGGCATCGTCGGGATCGCGGTGGAGGTCGGCGTCAGCCTGGGCGGGCCGGGCGGACGCGCCCCCGGCTTCGGTGGCCCGAACACGGCGTCCACCGGGTAGTAGCCGAGGCGGTCCCACGATACCCTCGCGGGGGTCACCACTCTCAGGCCCGGCGCGCTCATCAAGGCCAACAGCAGCTGGACGTGCATGTATCGGCGTACTGACGTCCCGGGGATGGCGATCGGGTGGTCGCCGCCGCCGGCACCGTTGCCGTCGCCACCACCCCTGCCACCGCTGCCGCCGCTCCCACGGCCCACTTCGACCCCTTCGCCTCTCCCTGCGGCTCCCATGTGCCGCTGCTGCATGTGCTGCTGCATGTGCTGCTGTATGTGCTGCTGCATATGCTGGTGCTGGTGCTGGTGCAGGAGCTGCTGCTGCTGCTGTTGAATGTGCTGCGGGTGTTGTTGCTGCATGTGCGACTGCATGTGCTGTTGCAACGGCTGTTGTTGCTGCTGCGGCTGCTGCTGCTGCCGAGGTTGTTGTTGGGGCTGGGGCTGGGGCTGGGGCTGGGGCTGGGGTTGGTGCGGGTGGTGCGGGTGGAAGTGAGCGTGATGGTAGTGCATAGGTGGCAAAGGAGCGTTGCCTACGGGCGCCATCCCGCTTGCGTACCTCGCCGCCGCCTCCGCCGCTTTCGACGCTGCCTCGGCGGCCGACGAACCCAGCCCCGGTGGGCATCCGAAGGGGACCGCGGACATCGACACCGCGTGGGGAGCTCGTGCCGCAGAGCGAGCGGCGGCGGCCACCGCGGCCGCCGCGCTTGCGTTCGCGTCCGCCTCGAACCCCTGCTGCTGCTGCTGCTGCTGGTGAAGGTGGTGAGACTGGTTCTGGTGCTGCTGGTGCTGCTGGTGCTGCTGGTGCTGCTGCTGTTCGTGGCCACCGATGTACATCCCGGCGGCGTCGACATTGGTGTTCACGAAGAGCCGGGGGCGGGGCCGCTTGCTCCCGATCTGCTGGTCGCGGTCCCGCGACCCCACGGAGGACGCGGGGGCCGGCAGCGGCGGGGACTTCGTCACGGTGTTGCTGACCGCGTGAGCGTTGACGACCGACGCTTGCTCGAGCAGCGACGACGTCGCGGGGGCCACGCCCCCCGGTCCTAGGACGACGCCGCAGCTCCCGTCCTTCCTGTGCCCCGGGGCTTCTTCCACCGCGTCACTAGCCGCGGAAGTGGCAAGGTGCCACCCATGCACGGCACCGGCGTCTCCGGTGCTGGCGCTGCCGTCTCCATTCTCGCCCGCGACTTTCTTGTCGAGCTCTCCGTAGCAGGCGGCGGCCTTGCGCGGGTCCGTCGCCTCTGTCTTCGTGAGGGACCCGATCGCGGTTTGGTTGACCACACCCCGCTTGTTGTCGTCGGACACCTACGTGGGGAAGGGTTGGCAAAGAGAGCGGGGGCGAATCGAGCGTGGATGGGGCCAGGAGAGTTGTCGGACGAAGGGGCGTGAAGATTGGCCGTGTTGAAGGGCGAAGAACAGGCGGGTGTCGAGACCCCGGAAAGCGGGTATGTAGCGTTTTCAGGGTCGAGACTGCCCCGGGAGGCGGCTTCAATGAAACGGACGGGAATGCTGGCTCCTTTTCGGGATGCATTGCTTTCTCGAGGCCGGTTCGCGGGTTGTGGTCTACAGAGTCCAAAGTTTCTGTGAAGCATATGTAGAGTGTGCCTCACCAAACACCGTCACACGTCATTCACTCTTCGTAGAAAGAACTAACACTACGACGGCGCAGCACGACGGCAAGCGACGACTGGTTCGAGAGACCGAAACCCCCCGCTCGAAACGGAAGCTCCAACCCTTGACAAAACACCTACCTGCCAACGATTGTTTTCATCCACAGCGGCGGGTGCGGTCGTCCCCAACGTGGACGCCGACGAAGGTACAAGGGCAGGCGGGGACGGGGATTCGACCCCCGGTGCCGCTGTAGCGGCCCCCACGGGCGGCATCCCTTGGCCATGGGTAGCGACGGCGGCAGCGGTGGCCACGGCCATCGCGGGAGGTGGTCCGATTCCCCCGCACACTCCCAGGCCTGCGACTACGGGCTGGAGTTGGCACTCGCCGCCCTCGACATGGCCGACCGGTGCGGAGCAGCCGCCGGCGATCACGGCTTCCCTCGGAACGACGTCGGGTTTGGGATCGTCGTAGAAACCTGGACCGCCCCCGTTCGTGGCAACGCTTTCGCCACGAGGACCAATGGGGTCTATGGTCGAGCTTCCTCTGGCCCCCGCGTCACGGCTGCGGCTAGGGTCGCTTCCACCGTCACCGCCTCCTCCGCGGATCTCCTTGTTTTGCCGGCCGATGTTCTTGTGCGCCGTGGTGTACCAGTAGTTCTTGACGGCGCTGTCTGTGCGGCCGGTTAGGAGCTTGGCGATCTCGGCCCACCGATTTCCCAACCGGAGGTGCGCGTCGTGGATGATAGTTATCTCTTCCTCCGTCCATGGGGCGTTCTTTTGGGATGGATCGAGCATGTGTTGCCAACTGTTTTGAAATGTTTCGTCATGGTGTAACAACATGCGAAGAAACGCGACGATGGGGTGGTGGAGAGAGAGAGAGAGAGAGAGAGAGAGAGAGAGAGAGATGTGTGAGCCCTGTGTGTCTTGGAACTCAAGAATGGTTGGGCATCCAGATCTGCATGAATGTGAGGTTGTCAAGTGAACGGGCAACAAACGTCTGAAGTAGAATGGTGCAGTTGTTGTATACGAGAAGTGTTTTCTGCCGAAATGCTACCCCATCTTGGTTGAACTTCAACTTGGATGGAAACTGCGACGAAATTAATTGATCATTGGGCTAGTTTTCCAAGTCGAACACGTCATGCTCGGTTGTAGGGATCTTTTGAGGGGGACAGGAGGTTCATAGCATGGTGTGAAGTTGCACGATTGACTATATCATCATTCTGAAACAAGTCAAGATCCTTTGAGGTGGAAAGGAATTCATAACATGGTATGAAATTGCACGATTGGCAACAATATCATTCTAAAACAAGTCGACAACAAGACGGCGTTTTTGCACGCTAAGATTGCCCCGATGGAGAAGCCAGCGTATGTGAATGATCTCCAAGGGAATAAAAAACTTACCAGGTACTATTCTATCGGACTTTTACTTTGCGTCACTGTTCGGGAAACGGCAAACGCGTGTGTGTATCTTGCTTGATGATTCCACTGCCGTTGACTAGTAGGCCGGCGACACAACAAACTACAGTCACTCAGTGCACGACACCCGAGAACGTCTGTAGCCGATTCAAGATACAGGGTCAGCGTGAGCGACAACACATTGAACGCCCGCACGATGTTATCACTGCGTGCTGTTGAACACCCTCTGCTACTAAGTCGATAGGGCGTCCCTCGAACGGAGCTCTGGTGTATGTGCGCCAACACCCTATCATTCATGTTCGTTAGGAAACACCGCAGCACCTACCGAGCTTTGCACTGTTCCCCGGTTCGGAGCGTGCCAGCAACTTCCACGCAGAGGTTCCCCGCGATCACACTCCATCGCCTGATACCACATTCGACAACCTGCCAATGCAGCAGTGATGGGCGGAAATCGCGGTGGCAACCGGTACATATTTGTCCATGTCGAAAAGGCGTTTATAGCACCAACCAGTGGTGGTGTTGGATACGTTCGGCAAGCGGCAAAACAGGCGTCTGGTGCGTGCACACGTGCGTTCACTACGCTTGTGGACTTGTGGGCTGTGCGGAGGATACCTGCGGGCAGATTTCCCGACTATTATTTGGCTCATCATTTACTTCCTCTGAGCCGAGAAGGATACAGAACGCGCCACTACTTAAGAACTTAACAATTAAGAACCTGAGCCTAAAAAAATCCAAAAACTAAGAACATAGCCGTAAGAACATGTGCTCAGTTCTGAAGTCGTATGAGAACTAGAACCCGCCTTTGGTAGTGTACCAATGCTCACACAGATAAGAACGGAGCCCAAAACACGGGCAGCTGCAAGATGAGAACGCGAGCGAAGGTGGCGGTGGTGACCCCAACAGCAGTTTGTTGCAAATTCGAGGGGTAGTCTAGGGGGGGGGGGCACCCCGTGAAATATTCTTGCACGTGCGGAGGTAGGGGGGTGACCGATGTACACACAGTGTAGCTGCGAGGCATTTCGTGTGCCTTTTCGAGAAGGGCGGCATGGTGATGACTGTTGACGTTTCGGGCGATGACCGAATCAACTTGGAGGGTTTGGACAAACCGTATACCTTCAAGGACGCCGAGGACCCCAGCGATGACGAGGGCCCTCTAGAGCCTGGGGAGGGTGCGGGGGGAAGGGGTGACCAGAGGTTCGAGGGAGACGGAGACACCAGCAGGGAGGACATGAAGGACGGCGGGTCCAGCGACGAAGACAATCACGGCAAGTTGGATGTTCACCAGACTCTTTGTTTTTGTCGTTGTTGTTGTTGCCGTTGCTGTTGCCGTTGCCGTTGATGTTGCTGTTGCTGTTGCTGTTGCTGTTGCTGTTGTTGTTATTGTTATTATACTGCTGTTGCTTCCATGGATGTTTCATGTCGAGGAAATTAACTTGGTCATGTTGCTGTGTGATTCAATACCGATCTCTGCAGACACGGCCCGCGGCCAGAACGACGAGCTGAGTCTTCTGGACGAAGACGACACCATGGACCCGGCCGATGAGATTCACGGCATGGAGATTCCCGACGGTTTTCGCCTTCGAGAGGCTACTCTCACTGCTCTTGATAGTCTGCAGCGTGAAGTACTAGCTAGGCTGAGCCTAGGTTGGTTCGGTGGGCTGATCACTCGGCAGTCTCAGGAGCGTACCCGTCACCTTTACGAATACCGTGTTAGTACAAAGTACACGTAGCATGAAGCTGCCGTTGGAGAAGTACTGTACGGTGGAGATGCGGATGCGGTGGTAGGGTCGTGGGTTTTGCTGGAGGGTGACACCATAGAGGAGGGGGGAGATCCCATCATCGCAGAGCAGGGGAGAGATCTGGCCACCAGCATTGTAGTCACGACGGGAGGAGTTAGTAGATAGAGCGGGGAGGACACGCACGCCCAACGTGACCCTTGTGAACCACTAAGCAGCTGAATGTTGCCCATGATACCTCTTCTTACGGCGATGCCGCGTCTGTATGCCCTTAGTACTTTGCAGTGATCGCGAAAGCTGCAGTGCGTTGTTGGAAAGGCTTATTCGAACCCGTACGTGTATCACTTGTTGTAAAGGCTTACCCCATTAGACTACTAAGTCAGCGCTGACTTCGTAGTCTAATGGGGTAAGCCTTTCTAACATGCGTTTGATCCGGAGGTCCTGTTGAACGATAGTTTTCTGCTGGTGTCAAACACACTATCTAGTCTACTTTCAAGGGTCACGTTGAAATCCATCCGCATTGACCTGCCTCCTCTACATGGAGTAATCGGCGTAGGAGTAAGAACAAGAACCCCATTTATCGTAGGTGGATGCCTGCTCCAAACAAGAACTCGGCAAATAAGAACATGTGCTCGGTTTGGGGCAACTAATAAGCGTTGAGCCTCGCGCAAAATAAGCGGTTCTTAAGTGGTGGTGCGTTCTGTTTGGCGAGAAACAAACATGGTGGTGGTCTGATCGAAATTGGCCAAGGCACGTGGCCCGTGGCAACACAGGCGGTAGATCAACAGATGGAGGCCGGCTTAGCACCAAGTCCATGTTTACAAATACACCCACCATACGCGTGATGGCCTCGTCCTCCCTTCTGGACCATGGGCGAAGGTCGGGGGCACGGGCACCGAGGTGGGTGTCTTCCCCGCAAGCCTCGTCGCCCTCTCCGTTTCCCTCGGCGTCTTTTTCTGCCCCCTCGTCTCGGGCTGTTCCCGGCCCCTTGCCGTGCGTTTGCTGCTGTTGTGCGTGGAGGTTGGTCTTGGCATCTTCCCCCACCAGCTGCTGCTGCTGCTGCTGCTGGCCTTGGCCACCTGCGTGCACGGCTGTTGCTCCTTTGGTTGCTGTTGTTGACGCACAATCTCCGACGACGTGCTGGTGGTGTTGCTGCGTGCTTCGAGCCTCGTCCTCCGCAGCCTTCATGGTCACCTCCAGACCTTGGGCGGATATTGGCCGCGTGTCTGGAAAAGACATGCTTCCACAGTATGCAGCGCGTGCAAGAGAGTATGCTCACTGCTGTATTTGCCTGGAAACAGCAGAGATCGCGGTACCGAGCGGCTGAAGCTGCCGGGATCCCGTGCGGCAGATCGTAGCCGGTAGAGATGGATGACACCGAACAAGAAGATACGCTCCCCTTCTCATCACCCACCAGAGTGCTCTGGCGGTTGGTGTTGTGCACAAGAGTGACCTGGACCGATTGCCCGTACTTTTTACTAGGGACTTGTACCGTGTGTGAAGTTTGTGCGGGAACAGAGCGACGTGAATCCACGGGCCGCGGGCAAGGCAGCAGAAGAAGTCTGTGGGATCCCGTCGTACCCAGATCTCCGTAGATCCGACCGTTATATTTTTACCTGCGTCACTTTTTTTCTGTACAAGGTCCCCCTTCGGAGTTGTGCGAGTTTTTTTTTTCCAACAAAAATCTTTAGACCTGCCGAGAACGTCGATACTCATACATAGAAACGTATCTTTTCAACAAGTTGAAGATACACCAAAACGCATCCGACCAGCCTATGATACGTTGCCTGCCGCCTTGCTATATATGGTATGCGGAAAAGGGATAAATAGTAAAAATGTCTTCCACAGCAGCACCAGTCAGCTGTCTAGACTATGTGTATAGCAGCAGTAGTGCATTTGCTTTCAACAACCCGGCATCGCCACCTGCTTATGTAGTAAGCAAAATACTCTGCTAAGAGCCCGCTCATCACTCTCAATCAACTGTAACTCCAACGGGTAGTATTTCTTTGATGATTCTATTCATTGTATGTACGGTTATTCAATCATTTAAGTGTTTTCTTGATCAGTCAGAACATGGACAGATGAAATGGTACTGGGTAGAGAAGTCTCGAAGGTTTTTCATGTCAAGACAAAACAACAGCAGCATGTATCTCATCTTCTCCCACAAAAACAAAAGAATCAGGAGTGCTGTAGCCATGGAAATACGAAGTCCAGCTTTAAAATGCTAAAAAAAAGGTATTATTCGATTATCAATCTGTGTACAACTGGTGACCTCCAAATCGTGGCTCGCCAAATCTTGGAAGTTCGATGACGCGCGAAAAAGAACTCACGAGAGAAGAAATGCTCATCCACTTCATTTCATCGAACACCCCTAAACAGAGAAACGCTATCGGCTCGTTCAAGATAATGTGAATGCATACCCCAATTTGAAGGGATGTGTGTTTACATGCAGTATATGGGGGGGGGTTGGGGACACCTGGCGGGATTAAGTGGACTGACTTGAGTCGGCTGATCCTCTTTCCCAAGCTCCTCTTTGCGTGGCACCGAAGACATGTTCCTCTCGACTTTCACCCTTCGTTTCGGCAAATGATCATCATCATCACACCATCATTGTGTCAACAAACGCGGCACACTTCGAAACAACCAATCGTGGAGAGTATAATAGAAAGAAAACACTGTAGTTCCTACATACCCTTTTATTTTTGCCGCAGAAATCAGCGTTTGAGGTCGATTGGCCTCGTACACAACGCAAAAAACAGAAACACCTGGACCTGCACGGGCGCGAATCAGTTGTAACACTACTTCATCGTCGACACAGAATACCAATTTTTCGTTCGTGTTTATCAGCTCAAGACACTTACTCTGCACAACAACTCCTTCTCATCTTTTACCCAGGCATGGCGATTGGTCTCTCGCCCATCTACACAGTGACGGCAGTCGACCCGTTCACAACGAGACACAACCCATCACACAGCCGTGCGCTCGGAAAAAAATCGAGAAAACCAACAGGACCAGTAGGTTTGTTTGTTTGTTTATCCATATTATTGCCTTATGGGCCCCCCTCCCCTCCCCGTCCGTTATTGAATGAAGGACGCCATAATATACTTCCCTCCTACTTCGATGTACGCACGCACGCACGTCGTCACCTTTGCAAAAACGTCCGAAAAACACGTACTTCCACATATTGTACACGAAACGCGGGTAGCTTCATCCTCTCCTCTCGTGTAACTATCGTTTCGCCTCGTCTCTCCCTCCACACTTCCCTTCCTCCGGACGCTCTCGCGTGTGTATGATACGCGACTAACTTCTTCCGACCAAACACATCGAGTGTGATGCTCTCGAACCCCAATGAAAAAAACGGTCGTAAGTAATAAGAGCAAGCCCATTCTCTGCCATCCAGACCACCAAGAAAAACGCCTCAACATGGACTTGAGGGACTCACACAGTGCACGGCACGATGAGACCTGAAGGGTTGCAACAACGGTCAACACAGAAAAGCACAGGCAACGCTCGGCAACCCGACCACCTGTTGACTCTGGTATCTCTTCTGCGCTCTCCACAAACGTGACAAAGCGCGCTGGGGGGGGGGAGGTGGGATTTCTACAAGAAACGGCCATTCCCGCGGCCGACCGAGAAGTATATACATGCATGCCATACCCGGCCCACAAGCAGACTCCATTCAAGCTCTCCTCCAGACCTGCCGCATGGAGATGTCCAACATCGACTTCTGCAGATAGTCTGTGTGGCATGGTATGGGCAAACGCCTACGGTCAAGCGGTCGCCGCCTTCATCGACCAAAGAACACCCCACACACAAGACGAAAAGGCGGCAGCAGCACAGCCGTACGAAAGAAAGAGTCATACGTCGATTTGAACCCAGAAAATGTACGATACATCAAGCCCCCCCGCCCTCCCCCCTCAAAGCCGAAACATAAAAGCCAAAAATGAATCCTTCCCCTCCCGACAAAAACATTATTTTTCGAATGCGCGGTCATGAACAAGACCGTCGCAGGTAGATCGGCAACCTCAGCACACATGCACAAATCAAGTCAAAACTTTCCAACCACGCTAAACACCGTAACGGCGCACAGCAGTACAAGGTGGTGGCGTACTCCTGTGGCCCTCAGGAAGATTGAATCTAAACTCACGTTGACAAAGCACACCACTCGGCCGACTCACGCCGCAACAAGAGTCTGTTGCCCATGGATACGATCGCGTACCAAGCGGCGGCGAACAATCTGGCTGTGTTGGCTACATCCGTCCGAAACGAAAATCGAGATATGATACAAAGGCAACGGCACTGCAGAAGATGGAAGTCTAAGGGAGCGATCGCTGCACTGGCCGCCGGAGGCCCACTGGGCGCCGAAACACACATCCAACGAAACAAGTAACGAGCAAAAAATGACTAATACCATAAAACAAAAAACAAAAAAACGGTCACATATGCCGTATCAAAGAGAGGGTCGTCCCACCAGAAGAAGCAGAGAGGAGTCGGACATAGCGCTATTCTGTAAAACTTTGACTGGTGCGCCCGCTAGGTAACATATAAAAAACACTTATCTTGGACACTTTTGCTTCCGCTTTTGCTGCTGCTGCTGCTACTCAAAACATACTTGAAAGGTGTGAGACCATGTACAGCACGCAGGTGCACTACCTCGGGAGTTTGCACATCCCGCCGGAAAAACACGCCCTTCTGGCCTGTACAACTCCGGGCAAACTTCGCAAGCTTCCATCGTTGTTGCGGCAATCGGTGCGGCAGAACTGCGTAGCAACGAAGGGCAACCGTCATCGTCGCGGCAAGAATGACGATGTCATGTGCTGGCCCCCTTTGTGTACAGGGCGATGCGGTAAAGCAGGTCGAAAGGGCGAACAAGGGGGGCTCGCGCAAAGAAAGAATTTGCGGCTCACGGCGGACCTTCGAAGCCAATGCCACCAGCAAGCCGACCAAAGCAAACACATATTGAAAAGAAACGACGTGTCCGAAGGTGGTCGGCAAGCGTCACAAAGTAGGGCGACGTTCAGGGAAGCAGTCAGACCGAGGCCATCGTTTCACTCCACGCTGCTGGTCAGAGACAAGTCGCACGCATTCTCCTCCTCCTCCTCGTCGTCCTCGTCGTCGCTGCTGCTGCTGCTGCTGCTGCTGCTGCTGCTGCTGCGGCTGCTGGTCGAGCTCCCTCCCTCCACCATCGTCGCAGCGGCGACCTCGCTCAGCAACGACGCGAGGGCTTCATCCACCGTGCGGCGACCTCCGCCACCGCCACCTCCGTGGGCAGCATTATCGTCACGGCTACGGGAAGAGTGGCGAGTCTCACCGTCTCCCAGCGGCGGTGTGGTACTGTCACCCTCGCCGCCACCGTCGCCGTCGCCACCGGCCCTGCCTTGCTCGCTCAGAAAGTCGACGCACGCCGTCAACAAGTCGCCCTGTTCGGAGGAGAGAGACTTCGCCGTCGGCCGGTTAGGCGGGCCTCGCAGCAGGGCAATGTGCTGCTCCAGACACTGTCTCGCGAACTCCTCGTCCGCCTGACGACAACAGATTGTGGGTCAGGGTTGTTGGAGGTCCAGGACGAGCGTGAGAGGGTTGCGCACGTGGTGGGTGAAAACGCACGACGCGTCGTTGCTGTAGGGAAACGGGACTAATTCGCCCGAAAGAAACACAAGCATGTGCGTGCTTCAAGCAAGCAATTGGTCATGCAAGCCACGAAGGACATCACAAAGAAAAACACCAACAGCGACGCAACACACACCGCCTTCGTTCGCCACGATCCCGCACCACGCCGCGCCGTACCGAACCACACCATACCCACAACCCGCCCGACCCAACTTCGGGACCCCCACCTCCTTCATCTCCGAGAAGATGTGGGCAAACTGCGGGAAGAGAGTGCAGAGGTAGATGTGGGCCTCCTCGTGAGACTTGTCGTTATCTTCGATCGTGGACAGCATCTCCGAGACGATGTCGCCAAGGCAGCGGTCGGTGCCAACCAGCATTTCCCTGGGGGCGGCGGCGGAGGAATGAAACAAACAAATGAGAGAAAAAACCTCATCAAGAAAGGAAGTTGACACGAACGCGGTTCGATAGACAAAAGCGGACGGATCGAGCCGCCTCCGCCGCACACGGTAGGAGGGCACAACGTCAGAGGCACAGCAACGCCAAAATCGATCGATCACGTAACAGCGGACATGTTTTCACCTTACACAAGCCATGCGGCACCATGCCCTTCGTCTCGTGGTCGCACGCCTTCTCTTCCTACCCGATGCAGGACGACCGCTACACTCAGGCTTGAAGGACGGGCGTACGTGCACCGTCGTAGGAAGGGGCGCAAAACATCTTGACCTTGTGACGGTAACAACGGCTACACCAGTATACCCCTTGCAGTAAGCAACCATCATGCCATCTCACGCTCCACACAGAGAAAAAGAACCACCACAACTACCCCAACAACGACACGGGCGAGAGGCGGGATCCATGTACACCGAACTGGCCGCCGATGCCAAACCGAAAGGCCACGCCGGACAAAACGGCGAAAAAGCTAACTGGCGATGTGGAAGAGTCTGGTCCGGTGAGAACCCGGCATGCTCCGTCCCGGGTTTGTAGGGATGCGAGGTCAATGGTCTAACGACTACGGCATGCGCGACTATTAAGTACACACTCCCCCTGTTCCGTACCTCCGCTCTCGGCGCTCGACGTACTTTTCCTGCCCCTCGTGGTAAGACTGTACCAGCGATCCCTTGACCTTCGCGCCCGCCTTCGCCGCCAACGCGTCAAGGTCCGCCAGCTGGACCAGGGAAAACGGTCGCCGTGTGGTGGGCTCCTGGAGTGCGCGCGGGGGGAGGGGGGGGGGGGGGGGGGAGGGGGGGTGTACTCATAGTCGTGCATGCCGTAGTCGTTAGACCATTGACCTCGCATCCCTACAAAGCCGGGACGGAGCACGCCGGGTTCTCACCGGACCAGGCTCTCACATCACCAAGCGCGAAGCGCCGTGAGATATTCGGCGAGTCGCATGAAGGGTGCGCTGCATCCTGCTAAGGGTGTTCGGCATCTTGTGCTTACTTCCTTGCGTACGGATGACAGCTGCGTATGACTTTATGTATTTTCTGGTGCCTTGACTTCCTGAGACAGTTGTAAGCACC